TTCTAAACTCTATTTTTCCTTGTAAAGATTTTACTTTTCTTAATCCTTGTAAATAACAGATGTACGATTTTGTTATTTTGTGATCATTTTTCCATGTATAATTCTGTTCGCATAGACTTGTACCAATGTTATTGTAAACAGTTGGAATGCGATCTCTTGTATAACATATATAGGGTACGAAAATTGCAAGTGCTCATAAAACATTAAGAAAGCCATGTATTTATTCATTGATAAAAAAGGGAAAGTACATGAGTGAGTAGGAAAAGACTACAAGAGCAGATCATTGATCCTCATCCCTAGGCTAGTCCCCGACCGCCTATTCGGGAGCGAGCTCCTTCGGGACGTACTCTGGATGCTCCTCCTCTAGGTTAGGACCCCGAGCCGCTCCCTCATCTTCTGCCCGTGCCATGGAAGTGAGGGAATCTTGGTACTCATCAGGAAGGTCGGATAGATCCATCTTAGGGTTCTTCAGCCGAAGGGCAAAGATGGACTGAATCGTCCATTCTGTAGCCCTCCTCTCGATCTTCGCCTCCTACTATTGCATCTCCATAGTTAGCGAAGTAACACGACCTTGAGAGAATTAGAGCTCGGCCTCAAGCGCCCACCGCTGCTTTTTGGTGGTCTTTCATAGCTCAGCCCTTTCCTGCTCTGTTCGTAAGGCCTATTGGGAGGTCGTTTGCAGCTCTTGGTCTTTCTCGCCAGCCTCTCTGGTGAGTCTGGCCACAATCCTCTGGAGCTCCTTTACTTCCTCGCTGCGCTTATCCAGCTCGGCCTTCTGAAAGTTCACCATGCAAAGAGTAGCATTCCTTTCAGACAAATGCTAGTTTGCCTGAACAATGGACGAGTCTCTCTCTACTCGTGCGACCTCTAGTTCCTACTTGAGCCGCGCATTCTCTTCCCTCAGCTCGACTAGTCCCTCAACAGCCCCCAGCTGAACCTTCTACAAGGACAGAGCATGGAGAATAGGGCCTGCATAACGAAGAGAATGTGGAGTTAGTTTTCTTTCTACTAAAAGCAAGTACAAGTCCTCACCGAGGGCAACTTGTTTACCTGGCTCAAGTGCTGGAAAGACGTGGACATCAGGTCCATCGGATTGGAAGCCACAAACTGCTCGAATGCCTCCGCGAGCCCGTATTCCAGCAGAGTAAAAACTGCCAGCTGCAAATGATCTTGTAGCTGACCCATTGACTCCAGCACGGGCATGTCCGAGCCTACAGCAAGTAGAGTTTCCTCTCCAAGCTCCTTGCCCGACCTCTTCCCCGGGACTGCCTTGTTTGCAGACCCTCGGGGGCAATGAAGATGTCGGTCGTGCCCTTGGGTGGCTCTCTCGAGCAAAACGCTTGGTAAGGCTGCGACCTCTTGGGCTGGATGCCCAGACCTTTAATGTCAAACTCCGACTCTTAGGCCCAAAGTTGCTTCCGCTTCTTGGACTTCTGAGCCATGGTCTTCTACTTCAGGCTAGCAGCCAAAGGCAAAGGAGCGCCCTCAGGTTGGACCGGAGCACCTGTCGGTGTCCCTCCAATGGAGGGACCGCTAGGAGTCGTTCCAGCTGTTTCAACGACACCCATCCGGGGGAAGGAAAATTGCCTTGGTCGTGGCGATCTGGGCACCTTGGGAGGCATGGTCACTACATGCGAACATCGTTAGTCAAATAGTTTGTTGTATGAAGAATAAGGACAGGCTAAGGTCAAGAGGCTTACAAATTTGCGGTTGTCACGAGCAGTCTTGCATCGCGACTCTCTTCATGCAGAAAGCCAAAGGTAGTGATCTTTTCTGGATCCTCGAGGAGCATTAACCTGGTCGTTTTGTTAAATGCAAAGAAACAAAGAGCTTGTTAGCGATGAACAAAAGTAAGTTCGTAAACTCAAAAGAAAAGAGAACCTACTCGGCTCCCGAAAGTGGCGAATGTCATCATAACAAAAGAAAAAGAACTTTGTCTCGTATGTCCTTACGTTGCTCGGGTAACTGTGTATTCCTGCTTCGATCATAGGACACTTAGCAAGGTAGCAGGAGTCCTTATCCTTACTTTTTTTTAGAATGTATGAGTAACTGAGCTCTAGCATGGTTAACTCGCCCAATTCGTTTTTGTCGCACGCAATGTACATAGCCACAGCTATCATATACGCATTCGGCGTGAGCTGTAATTATGCGATCCTGAAATGATCGAGGACCGACCTGACAAAAGGATAGAAAGGGATCAGCCCTCCATTCTTGAATATGTTTCGGAGATCGCAGCCATCCCTTGTGGTGGACTTCGAGCTGTGTGTATCCTATCTTGGAAGACCTCCATGCTAAGAGCATATTGGTCTACTACTTTCTAAATCTCCTCGGTAGTAATCATTGACAGGATCTCTTGAGGGGACCCACAGGAGCATCCTGCATAGGCAAGCTGGTCCCCTCCTTAGTTCTGGTCATTGGGGAGTCCATTCTACTGCGGTCTGAAAAAAGCAAGATGCAGGGAATCACTCAATCCTCGTACACTGTTTCGTACGATCATGTGGAGGAAAAAATAAAATCTTCCTCCCTTAAACCCTAAAAAACCCTAATAGAATACTTTTAGAACCACCATCAAATGACTCGAACCTAAGGAGAATATTTCATCTCCGATCAACTACCGGCAGACTATCATCGCCAGGCAACTATTGAAAACAAGAAATAATAATAAAAGTGGCAGATGGACAATCCTTACCCCCTGGAATGAGAAGATTAATCCTCTTGCTTTGAATATCAAGCGCGCATTGGTCTGAAAGACAAAGAACCAAGGCTTACGAAAGTTTCTTACTCTCTTTGAGAAAATGAGTATTGTGGCATTGCCTGAAGTGAGCTTGGGGTTTTATAGTGAAGGAAGTGGCGCTTTGGTTTCCTAAAGTCAAACGACATTTGGGCAGAAAATGCATTTCAACCTTGATCGTGACCACGTGTCACAGATCAGTGAAGAAGAGTGACCGTCATGCTTCGAGAAACCAAATCGTCATTCTTTTTCTTTAAAACACTCAAGTGACGACACGTTTTCCCTCCTCCACATTAAATGTGCCCACGTCCGCATTTAATGCTCTGATAGGGAATGTCGTTTTAGCATGGCTCGCATTTAATGCACATGGCTGGCACTTATTGTGCACAAGACACATATGTCAAAGCAAAAGGTATTTCATTAAATGTATCAGCTACAAAAGTGTAATGGATAACATCTGAAGAGGTCGTTATGTAAAACACTCTTCGGCTTGTCAGTCGCGAAGCGACGTGACACTTCGACTTCGACGTATATCAATTGCGGAGCGACATGATCCCTTGCCTTCGGTAAAAATTCCGCTAAGTGCAATCAGGTCATGAACCTCGGGTGAAGATCAGAGTCGTCGTCATGGCACTGAATATGGTCTAAGAATAGGTCGCTAACCCTTAGAGTAAAGGCCATTTCAGGTCGTCTGCATGTAAATGTTTCCTTGACCTCTTTGCAACCAGGTCAGGTTGACCAATATCTCTTCAAACACATCAAGTCAGGGCATAATATGTAGTTTCCAAGGTTCGATTCTCAAACCTTAAAAACTAAGGGACTTCTGTTATGCTTGAGAAGGTAGGGCTGACGCAGAGCCCTATCAACGTAAGCGGTCAGAGCATAGGTAAGTCCTGCAACCATCCAGATGTAGCCACGTCGCGTGCTGACGTAAGCAACATACCTTTACCAGTGCAGTAGGTGTGCGCCAGATTAATGAAAGGCTGTAAAAGGTCCACGTGTCCAATCCCTGCACAAGTCGAGTAAATCACTCGAGCAGGTGAACAACGGGACAGAAGAAAGGATTTGCATGGCAATCTGACCCACTCACAGATTTAGTAATCATTACCTCAACTCATCCCACTATAAATAGAGAGTTCCTCTCCCGTTTGTGGGATTAGCTAATTTCTCTCTGAATAGCATATACTTTCTCTCTTTCTCTTGTAATCACTTGTAAACTAGCTCGCTAAACGCAACCTGATCTCATAAATTAATACAATACCAGTGGATATAGGATTCGCTTGCTTAAGCATCCAAACCACTTTAAACATTGCTCTACATCTCTTATTCGATTCAATACCCCCCATTCACGTGTGTCTTCTGAGTCAGCTCAGCATTTCACATATGCGATTAGTTGGTGTCAAAATCAAGCATCAACACTTTTCAACATAATTTATTGTTATTAGTAGACCTGGCAAAACGGGTCCAGACCCACGGGTCAGCCCGTATCATGGTAAAAAATATAGGGCACGGGTTTAATATGTTGGACCCGTTTAATTTCCACCCGTATCCGGCTCGGCCCGTTTTTTGATGGGTTACACGGGTAAACCCGCGGGTACCCCTTTTTTTCAAAGCTAAACCCTAAGTCCCTAACCCACTAGCGCCACCCAACTCTAAAACAAACTTTCTCTTCTCTCTCGCCTCTGAATCTCTCATCACCGTCACTGATTCATTCTCTCAATCTCTCATCTCATCACTCTGTTCAGTGTTCATTGTCATCATCAGTCATCACTTCAGTGTTCTTATCCGTGAACCGTGATCCCATTCCCAAACCCACCGTCGCCGATCGCCGTCATTCATCCTTGTTAGCTTGTCATCTCTTCTCTCTGTCGTCGTTGGGAGTCGGCTCGTCATCTCCTGTCTCTCTCCGTCGCAAGACTCACGGCTCTCCTCCACACCATTGCAGTTGCAGATCGGTGAGGGTTCCCCTGATTTGTTTTTCTTAATGTTAAATCTAATGTTTTGGCTGTTTAATGAATTGCTTTATACTCCATCATTTATATAAATCTTCTTTGAAGATAAAAGAGTCTTCAATAGATTGCCTGATCCTAACAATGTGTTGATTGGTCAATAAATGCTTTTTTTATTCAGCTTTTGTGTAATTATTTTGTCTTATTTTTTAAATTAAAAAATGGTTGCAATTTGGTATGAGGTTGCAATTTATTGTTAATGATTATAGAAAATGACCAGAGGAGAAAACCTTGCCAATTGATGAAAGTTTTGCTGATTTATTGACTTTACTCTGTATAGCGGTGCCCTCGGTACGGCTTTCTTGCTTTTCAAAGCCTATCAAGTTGATAAAAACAAGAATGATCTTGGCCTTTGCTTAGAGGTTGTAAAAGCTTGTGACTCCTCTTCTTCAGCTTCTCGGTATTCTTTCTATTTCTTCAGTCTTTACATTTCTGTTTTTATTAATTTAAATTTAGTGCAAATAAGCTTTACAGAGTGTTTTCATACTAAATTATTTCAGCCTTGATGTTACCATTTCTCATTTTTATGTTTTCATTGGTAGGGATGTGACTTTTATTTGTGGGTGGGCTGGTGTTTGTGCCCTTGGTGCTGTGGCAGCTAAATGTGCTGGCAATGAGCAGTTGCTCAAATACTATTTTTCTCAATTCAGAGAGGTAATTTCGTTTGTTTGCTCCAGTTTTAATGGCATTGTGTCATTAAAGTTGATTTGTTTATTTACTATGTTTTTAGTTCTTGATGTTAAACTTAAGGATAAGTTGAACCATGAAACAGATTAAGCTGTCTCGGAATGTCCCTAATGAGTTATTGTATGGAAGAGTTGGGTATTTGTGGTCTTGTTTGTTCTTGAACAAACGTATTGGTGATGGGACTATTCCTTCTACAACCACTGTAAGTTTCCCATTTTCCCTGATCAATCCTAGTTTCATGGTTTTTATGGTTTTTGATTTTTAATCATATGGTAGTTCTTGTTTAGCGGGCCTTTATAGATGAGATTATTAAGGATGGAAGAGAGTTGGCTAAAAGAGGAGGAACTCCATTAATGTACGAACGGTATGGAACAAAGTATTGGGGTGCTGCACATGGTTTGGCAGGTATCATGCATGTTTTATTGGACTTCGTATTGAAGCCAGATGAGGCTGAGGATGTCAAGACCACACTTAAATACATGATTAAGAATCGTTTTCTTAGTGGGAACTACCCTGTGAGTGAAGAAGATAGAAAGAGGGATATTCTTGTGCACTGGTGTCATGGTGCTCCTGATGTTGGTCTCACACTTGTGAAGGCAGCAAAGGTATAAGTTTATCAAAATTCTCAAAAATGTTTTGTTATTTGAGCAGAATGGTTGAGTTTTGGATTGCGTGTTTGACATGATATGCAATTATTCTGGTGCCTATTTTATTTAAAAATAACTTGAATAGTTTTGGAAATAACTTCAGTTTTGGACTAAATAAACTTGAAGTAATTCATTAGTTTACATAGATTTCTAATGTAAATCTCACTTTCTTGAAGTTGTTTCAGACTGTCCACATTAATTAATTGAACTTTATTAACTTGTTCAGTTAAAATTTATGTTTCCTTTTTTCACCCTATGTTGAACTGCATTTTCTGGTAATTGTTTCTCTCAAAGATTTTGCAAAACGTGTCAAAATTTCAGGTTTTTGAAGATAAAAGAATTTCTGGAAGCAACTGAGGATGCAACGGAGGTGGTGTGGAACCGTGGCCTACTTAAGAGAGTTGGGACATGCCATGGAATCAGTGGGAACGCATATATGTTCCTCTCACTCTATCACCTGACAGGCAACTTAGAGTTCTTATATAGGGCTAAAGCATTTGCTGCCACTGTGGGATGAACATTTGCTACCAAAATATTTTTTTGTTGAATATTGGATTATGTATTTATTTATTTTAGTTGGTATTTATAGTTTATTGACTTATTTTGTTTGTTTATGTTTAATTGTGTATTAGTAATTATGTATTTGTTTAGTTTGGTTGGTATTTGTAGTTTTGTATTTATGTTATTGTTTGTTTATTTGTTATTTGTTTATTTTGGTTCCTATTTGTTTATATTCTAAATTGAATTGAATTTAGAGTGGTTGATTTAGGGGGTGTAAATGTAAAAAATTAAAAATGCAAGAATTTTGGGGGTGTAACTGTCATAATTGAAAACTGTTAGGGGTGAAAGAAAATCTAAAATCTGGAGAGAGAAAAAACAGGTACCCGTGTGTTCACCCGTATCCGTATAGGGTAGGGTAAAGGTCCAATATTTTAGACCCATATACTTCTACCTGTACCCGTTTGCCCCGTACCCGATCCACCTACCCATTTTGCCAGGTCTAGTTATTAGTATAGAACAAGTTAATATTAAATGCATTTTAGTAAAATATNCTTATCTTTTTTTATATTTTAGAGGCAAAACAAAATTTTATAGGGGGTTTTTAGTATTTTTCAAGGCCTGAAAAAATTTTCTTTTGTAAAAATTTTTTTAACCCTTATAATTTATGTTTATTTCAAAATTGATAGAGAGTTTTATGTAATTATACAAGGGACTAAAACAATTTTTTTTTAAAAAAAAAAAAAATTGGAGGAGGGCCCGTTAGGCTTGGTCCTCTCAAGGACTGGGTTTTTGGGCTGGGTTTTTGGACCCAGTCCCAAATGCTCACCTCTAGCAAGCACCAATTCGAGTTTAGGATGACTTTGTGCTATCCATGATCTGCCACATCGCCCAAGACAGAGAGAATACAGTTGTCACCAACCCAACAAGTTTAGGTTGTCTGTGAATGAATGAGGTCCACACACCTGTCCAAACCCCTAATAATTTGAGGATATTTCCTAAGTTATTAGCTAATGAGACGCAAAGAAGGACTTGCATGACACCTACCCACTTACAAACTTATAATCATTATCTTGAAATCAGCAGTTATAAATAGAGGACTCTCCCTCACAAAAGGAGGATCTTTGATTTTCAAAACAATCAATAGCAAAGACAACTTACGAGAAAGAGACTGACTTGATATTCTCTCTCAATACTAAACTTCTGTATCTCTGTTCGATGTTCGCAATCTCTTGGAACATACTTATATAAAAGAAATAGTGAATGTAGAGATCGTTTTAAGTATCCGAATCACTATAAAATTCTCACTGTAAATAACTTTATCTTAACTCAGAAATTAATCACGTATAATTTTTAAGACCAACTTAACACTTTACACGTATAAGATCTTTGATGTCAAATTCAAACATCTAACAATGTTTTTTCCACCACACTATAATCTACAAAAGATAGAAAATTATAAATACATGGGGGTAGGGTAGCCGCTAGTTTAAAGAAACGACTAAAGTCAACTTCAATACATTTGCCTCTGGCATTGTAACTACCGCCCATGTGCTCTTATTAATGTAATTATTTAATTATTAACACTAATCAAAAGGAATCCCCGATTGGTTATTGTGTCCTATAAGAAAAATGTTATACTTTCTCACAAAAGCTCTCACAATTATGTAGTTTTCAATCGATGAACTCGTAATAAATCTTACTTGATAAATCATGAATTGTAAAAAAAATTTTGTAAAAAGAGATATATAATTACAATCTTTAATATGGTTTATATATATATACACACACAGCCAGCTAATCCAATCCAGAGCGTACTTGTATGAGTTTGAAACGACGAAAGAGCATTTACCTTATGGATGGTGAAAGAGTCGAGAAGAGCAACAACATCATGAACAAGGTCCATATAGGTTGTTTTCTCGGGCTCAGCTGAGTGGTCAGAGAGTCCATAGCCCCTGAAATCGATAGAAATGGCTCGGTAGCCAGCGTTTGCAACTGCAATCATCTGGTACCTCCATGAATACCAGATTTCTGGGAATCCATGCAAGAACAACACCACCTTAGGACCTGCAACACAAAATTTATTTAATTTTCATGATCAGCAAGCAATAATGAACAAATAAATACAATATCTATATATCTTACTTCTTATATGCAAATTACCTGTTCCAATTTGAGCAACGTGAAGCTTTACTCCTCTTACTTCAACATGAGTGTGTTGGATTTGATCCATATCAGTGAAGAGAGATAAGAGTCAGAGAGAGAGACAGTAGGAGAAGATGCTTTGAAATGACGTCTTGGGGATCAGATGTTGAAACACCGACGCATGATATTCATATTCTATTTAGTAATATAAGTCTCTGATAGAGATCAATAATATCAGGGCCCTCGTTATTACTGGGCTTTACAGCTTGCCCGACTTGGCCCACGATCATATTAGGATAATGTTATGTACTTGGCATCATCTTCTTATCTAAGATTTTGGGATCTGCAAACCCTAAAGTCTCAGGTAATAAAACCCGACCTTCTATATCAAAACTTCTCAGAACAAAAACCATTTCAAGTTCAAATATAGTTTCAGTACAAACAGAAGAGAATCTAGCGCACAGACCAAAACAAAATGTTTGTGGGATATCCAGCGTTATTCTTTTCTTATAAGCTAGAAAATAGTAAAGAAAAAAAATATGTTATGTTTAGATTGTAATCAACGTAATCTCAGGTGTGATCTCACCTATTAGTCAAATAACCCTTCATCTAATTCAACAAAACTGTGAACTGTGATTTAAAAAGAAAAAACGATTACTAAAAAGGGGGTGAGAAAATTTAGCTGACCGGCTATCCCAAGTTTCGATTTAAGAAAATGGCCTTGAAACTGTTTTTAATTTTTTTTTTTAATTTAGAGAAGCTGATGTGGCATAGTTAGGATCCATTAAATATGTAAAATGGGTTAAAATGAAAAGATTAAAACATATAAGGACAAAAATAATTAATGAAAATTTTTAAAATTTGAAATTTGAAAAAGAGCCCCACCCATTCAAATCGTTTAATCGAAACCAATTAAGGCAAAAATTGATATCTTCAGTCCCTAAACGCATTCTTTGCAATTTCCGACGATAACAGTCCACATTTCGGCAAATTTTCACACCCAAATTCAATCCTAAAGCTTCTTCCTTTCTTAAAACCATGGCTAACATTCACAATGAGGAGGAAAACTCAACGCCTCTTCGAATCGTAGAGTCCGGCCGCGCAAGCAGTTCAATGGCTGTTCCGGTGGATCCTCCGATCAGTGAAGGTGTTCCAACAGCGAAGACGACGGCGACGGCGACACAATGAGAGAGAACAAGAGTAAAAGCGACTTTTACTCTTGGTTGCTTAAGCTATTTAGAATTGCTTAAGAGTAAAAGCGATGAATCGCTTAAGCGATATAAACGATCGCTTAAGCGATCTTAGATCTGGTAGATGTTGATTCTGCCTCATACAAGATCTCTTAAGCGATCTCTTCCGAGGCAGAACCAAATCTGCCCAGATCTTTAATCGCTTAAACGATCCTTTGTATCGCTTAAGCGATTTCAGATCGCTTAAGAGATCTTATATGAGGCAGAATCATCTGCCCATCACTTAAGCGATTCTTCCAGAGCATATTTTGTTTATATTTGATTTGGTTTAATTTTTTTGCTCATATTTTATTTATATCGATTGTGCAGATTTTCCGGAGCGTAAACTATAGAGAGTACGGATTAGAGGTTGTAAGCGATACGGTACCGTACTTCACTGTGAGGATGACAGTGAGGTCAAGTTGGGATGTTTTAACGAGAATAACGGGGATTTTAGGGATAGTGAGGAATGGTGAAAGGAGATTCAAAGAGACTTGTTTCAGTCATTTTTGGGATATGGACACAAAATGGAAAAAGACATTTTGGGGGTCGGGAGTGCATTATATGTTGCTGCACTCAATAAAAAGCAAGAAAAAGCATGAAATGTGGTTCATGGTGGATGGAAAGCCACTACGTTTCGGGATGATGGAATATGCGTTGGTGACTAGCTTAAGATGTGGGGAATTGCCAGGTGAGGTTGAGGAAAAAAGAATATTTGATAGTATTGGAGCCAAAAGGTTGGCTAACAAGGTTTTGGTGGGGAACAAGTCTATTAAGGCACAGGAATTAGAGGACAGGTTAAAAGATGGTGAGTTTAACGATTCAGAGACGTTCAAATTGTGCTTGGTATTGTTCTTACATTCGATCCTAATGGCTAGTGACTCAACAAAAGCCGTTGATATTGATTGGGTGAAGTTTGTAAGCAACTTGAACTTCTTTAATGCTTATCCGTGGGGACGGGTATCATTTAAGCGAACCGTGGAGTCCCTGCAAGCAAAAGACCTGGCGTTAAAGCACTCCCAATGGGCCGAGAAGAATAGACCGGCGACGTACAATTTGTTTGGCTTCCCATAGGCAATGCAGGTAAATATTAATAGCTTTTTGTTATATTTTTTTTTAATATATGTGTTTGAATTATGATATGGACTGTTTTTTTACAATGTAGGCTTGGATGTATGAGGCCATCCCTGTCCTGGCAAAGACAGGGGGGAGGATTAGGGCTTCGGTTGTGCAATAGACATTTCCTAGGATGTTGCAATGGCACGACCAGAAGTGTACCCATTCGGATTATGAGCAAATAGAGATTGAAATTCAATCAGCTCGGGTAAGATTAAAGGATTAAGCTTTTGAACATGCACTTGCTGTAAAATTTCGCTTAAATCTGATTGATTTTGTTTCTTATTGCAGGGGGTTGTCCATCCCTTCCTCACCCATACTGGGGGTGAAGCGCAACAGCATTATGTCACATCTTTCCGAGCACTGGAGGATCAAAGAGATAAAGGGATAGATCTCCTAACACAGGATCTACAAGGGATCACACATGTGAGGGCAGTTGTAGGGCCACTGCTTGAGAATGTGGTTGACGCCGAGGCAGATGAAGCCACAATCGGTGGGAGGGAGGAGGGGGGGAGGGAGGAAGAGGTTAGTATGCCTCAGCAAACCTGTACAACAAGTACCGCTTTGCCGAGGCGTCGGGGTCGGGAGAGTGAGGTGGTTGACCTCATAAGGAGTTTGTTTGATAAGATGGAAAAGCAGTTGAAAAGGGTGGAGGAGTAAGTGGATAAGGTGGCAGAGAAAGTTGTTAGGGTGCAGGAGGAAGTTGGTATGGTGCAGGAGGAAGTTGGTGGAGGATTGAAGGCGGTTAAAGTGCAACCTGGGCTGAAAAGAGAGAGCTGAAAGAGCAGGTTTGTGAAATCGCTGTACACCGTACTAACACGTGGAATTAAGAGGAAAACAAAGAAACAAATTGAGGAAGAAGCCAAAAGTGAGGGGGTTAAAGAGGTTTCTGGAGGAAGTGGGGCAGTTATAATGAAGGAGGTTGAGGCGGGAGGCAAAGGAAGCGGGGATGTACAAATGAAGGAAGGGAGAGGAAGCGGGCAAGCAAAAATGGAGTCCACTGTCGATTTGTATAGGCCAATAGAGGAGGAAAAGAAAAAACCCTTCTATGCCTATTACAATGAATCCGGAAGTGATGCCCTTGTAAGGTGTAAGACTAGGGATTATTCTCGGGATTAGTTTGAAAAGATTTTGACGATGGGCAGTTGGCTTCACGACTCGGTGAGTTATTTGTACTTAATTTTCCTTATTTTTGCTTATGTTTTCCATGAGGTATTGTATACTTATCATGTTGTTTTTATTTGATACAGCACATTGATGAGGAATTGGCACTGATAAGGATACAACAAACCATCAATGGTGATCTACTGTATCCCAATTGTGTCATCAGCGATGTGGCCTTTGGCCAAACACTGGTATCGACATATCTCAATTTATTGAAAAAGGCCATTGGTACATTTGTAGCAAAAGGAGCCAAGCAAAAACGATCGGGCACAGAAGACTTGGACTACATCCCTAATGATTTTAAGTTTGATGACAGGATGATGTAGTATGTAATGGGAGACAAGCCCAAATATGGCCACAATTGGGCAAAGGTTAAAAGTGTCTACTGCATCATCTTGGTCAAGGAAATGCACTGGATAGTAGTCGTCGCGCTATTAGAAGAGAGGTTGCTGAAGATCTTTGACTACAACCCAACAATTTGTCAAGACAGGCAGTTGGAGGCCGAGTTGGAGCCACTGTCCGTGTTGTTCCTGCGACTGTTACGCGAGAGCGGGATGTTTGAGCACTTCGGTGATGAAGCATTGACGGGAAAGTGGCCACTCAAGCGCGTTCCTGTCCCAACAAATGAGTTAAGGTAAATTTTGTATAAAACTAACTTACATAATACAATTGTTCTATAAGCTTATTCTAATGCTAATGTCATCTTTCTATTGCAATGCTGATTGTGGGGCATATGCCCTAAAATTTATTCAGTTCGACATGACCAACAGCCCGATGGACGGATTGAATGACGAAACAATAACCATCTTTCGGGAGCGTTGGGCTGTTGAGTGCTTCCATGGGGAAATGGATCTGTTTTGAGTGACCACAACCCAATCAAAAGGTTTGGAACTTGTACTTTTAATTTTGTAGTTTATGTGATGTTGATGTTGATATTTGGGTTGTGGTGCTGATGCTGCAGGTGTCATGCTTATACACAGCTTTACCGAAATAGACGGACTCAGTGAACTTTTAAATCTTGCACTCCATAACTTCGGTTCATGAAAAGAGAACATTTTACTCCCCGGACATCCCAACTTTCCATTCAACAAATTGGCCCTGAAAAACTTTTTGTTTTTTTGTGTTTTATTTAGAAAAGTTGACGTGGCTGCAGGTGTGCCGGATAATTTTGCAGGTTGTTGGCAAACAATGAGAGGGAACTCCTTAAACTGGCTTGGGCTTTCTGAGTAGGCTGCCGGCAAGGCATCTGCAATCAAGGCTGTTGGCTAGTTTTTGTACCATGAAATGATCTCAGACAGTGATTATACCGAATTTGAAAACTTCTCAAAGTGGCGGCATCTGCAATCAAGGCTGCTGGCAAGGCATGGTACCAAAGAATGATCTCAGACAGTGATTATACCGAATTCCAAAACTTGTCAAAGTGGCTTAGGATTTATTCTGTTTTGGCACTATTATGAATGATTTTAAGTTTAAACTTTCAATTACATTGATGTCTTTTATATTTTGATCTGTGATAAATTAGATTGATATAAATGACTTCATTTTGCTGCTTATTCTTTTCGAATTTGGGAGGAAAATGAGTTATTTCGAAATTAGCTCTATAAAGACAGATTATTACATAATTTAGGAGAAATGTAGGATTCTTCTCTTTTTGTCATGATCGCTTAAGCGATATATGAGTGACCA